AGCAAAAAACACCCAACTGTAAAAAGAAAAAGAAAAAAGGATCCAAAAATATGAAGATAGTGTAAGGAGCCTCTGAGACAACTTCAAAAGTACCAACATTTTGGGGGTGCCAGAAGAAGAGAGAGAGCAAGATATTGAAAACATATTTGAAAAAATAGTGACAGAAAACTTTTTTCACCTACCTGGTGAAACAAATAGACTTACAAGTCCAGGAAGTGCAGAGAATCCCAGACAAAAGGAACCCAAAGAGGCCCACACCAAGCCACATCATAATTAAAATGGCAAGGGTTAAAGAGAAAGAGAGAATCTTAAAAGCAGCAAGAAAAAAGCAGTTAGTTACCTACAAGGGAGCTCCCATGAGACTGTCAGCTGACTTCTCAACAGAAACTTTTCAGGCCAGAGGGAGTGGCAAGAAATATTCAAAGTGATGAATAGCAAGATGTTACAACCAAAATTCCTCTACCCAGAAAAGCGATAATTTAGAATTGATGGTCAGATAAAGAGCTTCACAGATAAGAAAAAGCTAAAGGAGTTTATCAACACCAAACCAGTATTATATGAAATGCTGAAAGGTATCCTTTAAGAAGAGGAAGAAGAAGAAAAAGGTAAAGATACAAATTGTGAAAAACAAATACACATCTATCAACAAGTAAATCTAAAAATCAAGTGAATAAATAATCTGATGAACAGAATGAACTGGTGATTGTAATAGAATCAGGGGCATAGAAAGGGAGTGGACTGACTGTTCTGGGGGGGGAAGCGGTGTGGGGGATGAGACTGGACAAAAATTATGAATGCGGACAGTGTGGGGGAAGGGTGAGGGCGGAGGGTGGGCGGGGAACTGGGTGGAGGGGAGCTATGGGGGGAAAAAGATGAACAACTGTAATAATCTGAACAGTAAAAATTTAATTAAAAACAATAAAAATAAATAAATAATAAAAATAAAATAAAATAAAAGAGGGAGGAGCTGACGCCCAGCGAGGGGAAAGGGCAGACCTGGGCACTTGGCCAGACAGCAGGTGTGGGGGCCTAGGCTTCTTATCTGCAGGCTCAGGGCTCTTCTGCCTCTGTCCTCACTCACCCAGCCTCCCCTCAGAGTTAACAGTTGCCTGGCCTCGCCCTTGGCCTGTAGCTCCAGCCCAAAGAGGCTCTGTCCACATTGCCTGGCTGCTACGCAGCCTGCAGGAGCTGAGACAACAAAGTCCAGTGACTGCTGGAGGGGAGGAAGCAGCAGGAGCCACTAAGCAGAGGGGACTCTCCAGCTCCCAGATGCTCGGGCTCCTGGGGCTTTCCCATTGTCC